AACATGACCTTGAGCAAGGCACTTTAAACTCAGCTGCTCTGAGGAGCACTTATATATTGGGGTAACTTGAAATACTCACTGAAGGGGGAAAAATGCAGCTCTCAAGACAAGATGTGAACAGGTTTCAAAGTGACTTTGAGCAAACCCCTGTCTTTATTGCAGTCAGATTTTTCTAGAAGCGATTCCTTTACTGTTTTAAAAAGTGATGGGGACATATTTTCCAGTTAAAAAAACCTGATGCTATATTGCACCACGGGTAGTATACTATTATAATTATTATACTATATTTTTCTTTTCCTTTTAAAGTTCAGTATTATTAAATGTGTGTTGCATCCAAATTGCACCACTGGGGTCCCCAGAAATACACCCACATGCAAGTGTGAACGGACCAACTGTTCTCGAGATTTTAAATGTGGTGGGGACAAAATTGTTCATTCCAAAAAGCAGTGGGGACATGTCCTCAGCGTTCCCAGCCTTATTGACGACTATGCTGTTCATCCTTCGAGAGCTTTTAGTCACAGAATTATCGTCCTCCCCGAAGGAGATTTAAAAACACTGAATGAATCCGTTTTGCAGAGTTTTGCTGAGACTGCTACCAGCTACTTTTTAAATCTCAGCTAAAAACTCACCCCTTTGCACTGGCTTTTAATACTAGTTGAACGTTACATTTTTACATTTGTATGTGTTTTTATATGTTTCTAGTTATTGTGCTTTTTATCATGTTTTTAATTATTGTTATATTATTTTACTCCCATTGTGTTATTTTATATTGTATGTATTGCCTGTACAGCATTTTGGTCAACTGAGGTTGTTTTTAAATGTGTTATATAAATAAATAAAGATTGAGATTGAGCTTTTGTTTGTTTCTCTGAAAACCTAAATCCTTAAACACAATCCTTCAACAGGTTTGAATATACAGTTTAAAATGACCAATATTTTAAAAACGTTATTGTACAAATGTGGATTAAAACTGGAATATCAAATAAGGACAACTTCTGAAAAATAACCATAATGTTGGCCGTGTGCAAAGGGGAAACATCATCATTACTGGTGACACATTCAACAGTAAGTTACCTTGATTCAAATTACATATTTCTGTAGGTCTGGGTTAGATTGGAAACATTTTGGATAACATACCCATGTCAACAAAATGTACTGTATGAAACGTTACATACAGTATTACTTTACCCAACAACTGTGGGGTATAAAAATGATAGCAAATAGCCTAATTAAGTATTTTAGAAATTGACCACAGCACTCTGAAGTGAATGAACGAGTACATGTAGACACATCCTTTCACAGTCTGACTCACAGCATGACTGGTGATGGTGTGATGTTTTTGTTACGGTAAAGAGAGATAGAGATAAGTAGGACCGGCCTGAAGTAATGTTAGCATCATTAAACAAGGCCTCATTGGTTACCATGGCAACTTATAGCTGGAAAACCTCAGGAGGCTTTTTCTGGGCCTCATCAGCTGCCGGCACTGCAGGAAGACCAGCAAAGGATGACGTCATGTGATGAGCAGTTTGTGAAGAAGCTTTTTCACCTCTCAGACACACTATAACCTTCATCATCATTGCCATCATCATCATCATAAAGTATGCTGAATCACAGATGTGTGTCATCACATACGGTATGTATCCTTTTTTAAATGCCCCACCCTTTTATACTTTTCACCTCATTGTTTTTTGTTCTTTTATTTGCTATTTATCATCCAGAAAATGTGTTCACCATCATTGTGAGTCCCTATATTGGCATGTTGGAGTCTCAATAACTTCACATAGATATTTAGAACATGGTGGAGGAGACTAGACAGACGGTTTTGTAGGTGGGTGGCACAGATAAGTCAGAATTAAGGACAGGGGATCCAAAAAAAAGAGGTAAAAAACATGACCTGGATTCCATTTATGCTCTTTAAAATCACCATGTGGGGAGTCACCATTGTCCGTCTCAAGTAGCTTTGTCTGCTCGGCAGATTTTCTAATGAGGGGCTTTTGGAGGAGGATGACAGAGCGCTCTGCCGTTCTGCCGGGGAGGAGGAGGGGAGTTTAAAGGAAATGAGCAAGGCTCTGTCCACGGATACGCCTAATACTAGATTCCCCCTACTCAGATGCCCTGCTGGCAGCTTGGCAGCACTATTAGGACTGAGAAGGGTGGCATTAGTCTGAAACTCTCATTATGTCAGACACACTGAAAACCTCTAATCTAGCAACCAAATGAGAGGGGTAGAATTAAACCAAACTTGGCGATAGAAGGCAGCAGACTTGCAATTCAAAGTGCTCAAATCAGTGTTGTTTGTACTTTGGACTACTTTATTTGGAGAGCAAAAGCTGTGCTCTGAATATTTACTTCTAGCTTTTCAACCCATGTTTCATTTAAATCAGGTCACATCTGTTCGCTAAATACAAAAGCTAGGACATGTTTACTTGTGCACAGAAATAGAGTTTGTGTGTTTTATCAGCAATATTGTAAGTGTACATTTATTGTAGTATGTGTTTTTCTTTGTTAAAATACACTGGATAAAGCTGTTTGACAGAACATTTATTTAGAAAAAAAGTCACACTCAAGTTAAGTATAGAAACCCGTTGGTGCGTACATAATGCCTAAACTTAATAAATGAGGATCTTGCAAGTTATCCCCATATGCAAGTTAAGTTTCTATAATTAATGAGGAAGGAGAAAAATAGATCACATACAGTAATCTGGTTGCCTCTCATCATCAGACAGATGCATGACAATTTGTCAATAAATCACTCAACACATAAACAGATCTTCATAAATAGTGTTCCCTTTTAATAAATGCACCTTTAATGTTGGTGAATGTTGCTGGATTTGGTAAATAAGAGGTGTTGTGGTCTCCATGCGGAAAAATGTATTCATTGACATTTCATTTATTAGGTGTTTTTTAATTCCGTGGCTGTCGGTAAAAGATAAAATGCCCGCCATGTGTTTGAGCAACGATACAGGGGTTATTTCCCAAAAGTGGTAAAAATATCAGCGAGCTCGGCCCACACACAGGCTGTGTTAGCAAGCAAAACCGGATTAAAATAAAAGCCCAGCTATCAAATAGACAGCTGAGCTCCATTCTTATTGTGTCACAACAGTTTTCACGCAGCACTGGATTATGTATGTCTTTTGTGGTCAATATATGCATATACATGATGCTGCTCCTACTGCCACTGCTCTCAACATGGTATCTGTTATAAATAAGGGTACAAGCTGTGGTAAAAAGTAGAAATAGTAGAAATGCTGTGGGATTTCGAATCCAAAATGTTGAATCTGCTGCCATCTGTTGGACCATTATCACAGTACAACATTCATACTCAGATTGTAATGACACTGAAGAGATGGTTCAGATTTTTGGAGACAATACGGTCGAACTTTTTTTTATCAAATGGTTTTATAAAAACAGAGCTATTTTACATTATGTATTATTAGTATACAGTAGCACCACCTGTGAGTCATTTGTACCACATTTCTAATCATAAACTTCAATATTGTCTCAAAATAAGTCTGATTTCTTATCAATTGTAAGATTTAATAGTTTGGTAACATCATTCGTTCTGTCTGAAAATACACACTGTGGGTCTGATATAAGGGGAACATATATTTAATTGTTTGGTTGATTATAGGATTTTTAATATTCTTGTTTTTCTCGCTGCTGTGTAAATGTTGAATAATGTGTATCCGACTCTGCATTTAAATAAACTGAGATTCTTGAACATGTGTGTGTGTGTGTGTGTGTGTGTGTGTGTGTGTGTGTGTGTGTGTGTGTGTGTGTGTGTGTGTGTGTGTGTGTGTGTGTGGACAACTTTGTTGCATTTAGACCTCTTGAAAGCACTTTCTTTGGACATGCCATTAACTTGTCGACCCTCTGAAAGCATGCTGCTGTCTTCAAAGAGAGTAAACAAGTCTCGGTTCCTCCTTTGCCTTTCAAAATAAAAGCATAGCATTAGCAGAAAAGGAATTATATTATGTGCTGAGCACTTTACTGTTTGATCAAATAACAATTCAACTATACAATTAAAGTCTACATAGTATTACATTTCTCCACATGTTTGTGTGACCTCTAAGCAGTGGTGTAACGTAACTAAGTAGATTTACTCAAGTACTGTACACTACTTAAGTACAATTTTTAGAGACTTGTACTCTACTTTAGTATTTAATGTAATGCTCCTTTGTTCTTCTACTCCACTACACTTTTAATTTTGGTACTTGTTTTTGTTATGCTAATACTTTTGTACTTTTACTTGAGTAACATTTTGAATGCAGAACTTTTACCTGTAACAAAGTATTCCTACAGTACACTCTGGTACATACTTCTACTTTTACTCAAGTACAAGACCTGCCAATAATATCCCCTCTTATGAAGTCATGATCAAGCAATATAACTTACATTTAAGAATGTGTGTAAATCATCCTTTATTTGTATAATGTTAAGTGGCTAATGGTTTTTTCACATTATTTTGATGCTGTTATTTTTTGTGTATTGTTTTACAATAATTTTAAACATGAGTACATGCATGCAAATGTATGCTTTTTGTTGGTGTATTGTGTTGACTAGTATGACTGGGTTAATCCCAGGAAGAAATACTGCTGGGATGACAAACAAGCTCAAATTTGAATAAACAACCTTACTTTGAATATGATGAACAATAAAACAAAATAGATGGTTGGAGTGGGTTAACTCTTTGTGTGGCAAAGGGATTCTGTTTGTTCCATTGTCTCTCATTTCTCATCCTTAACATGGATGTTGAATTGCAAAACAAATCACTTTAATATAAAATCTTTTAACTGTGACTAACCAGTCCTTTATTAATTGGTGTACCATTCAGAATAATGGATTAGTCAGACCTTGATGAGCATCACAATGTGTTTTTACAACGTCACTGCTCTGGTATGTAGAGGAAATGTATCAGAAAGCCTGAAATCCTCAGCTGCTGCTTCAATTACTTTGAAAACCCAATCCAACCGGAAGTCCCATGTTAAACTCCTCCAGCTGCACACGGCACCCAAACACAAAGCAGAGAGGGCTATGGTGGGTGCAGACGGACCTGCAGTAAGCTCTTTCCCACTGTGACTGACCGGAGTGTTTCTGAGAGAGAGAGAAGATGTCTGTGGACGAGGTGTTTGTGTTCCGGCCCTTCAAGCTCATCGCGCTGCTGTGCCTCTTCCTGGCCCTCTGTCTGGACCTGGTGGCCCTGTTGAGCCCCGCCTGGGTCACCGCGGACCATTTCTCCCTGTCTCTGTGGGAGTCCTGCTCACTGTCCGAGGATCAGTGGAGCTGCTTCTCCACGCTCACATCTGGTAGGAAACACTCGTTTGTGGGTTTTTTCTATTGTTTACAACTCTGTGTCCTTGGAGTTAAGATGCTGTTATTGTGTTGATGAGAGAATATCCAAACATTGTGAAAAAAAAGCTGAGATGTCAACGTTGTAGTAGTTTTTACTTTTTTGGGGGGGAAACTTTAATTTGACCATGGTTTAATCCACTGAGTTTTATGTACTGGTATCTGAAGTGGTAGAAAGTAACACTTTTTTTGTTGCTACTTTGTATTTCTACCTCCAATAATTCAGAGGTAAATCATGGCCTTTTACTCCACTACATTTATTTAGTAGCCTACCTTTAGTTACTTTTGATTGGATGTGAGATATAAACAACACTTAAATAGGACTTGAGTAACACCTGGAGTAAAATTCACAATACCCTGCAGTATACAAAATCATTCAAATGAGCTCAAACTTACATGTGATAACACATTCATTCATTCATGCACAAATAATTATGATCAAAACATATAATATTATTCTGAAATGGACCAATCAGCATAACGAGTACTTTTACTTTTGGTGCTTTATTTTGATACTTTAACTTTTTTGAGTAATTAAGTAATATTTTAATTGCAAGACTTTTACCTGTAAAAGAGTATTCCTAAACTCTGGTAGTTATTTTTTACTTAAGTACAAAATATGAGTACCTCTGGGTATTTGTGCCCTGTCTATAAACTCTTGGTGGTTTTAAACCAGCATCTTTTTCGGTGGCCTTTTTTCAGAGTCTGTTATTGAGGCTACACAAAGGCTGCACATCCTACGTTTGACAAAAACAAAGAGGAATGTGTGTTGGATTGTACGAACAGTCTGACAAACAGTCTCCCATGAAGAGTTGTTGCTCACTGTGCAGTGGCAGCAGCAGCTGAGGAATTCAGGCTTTCCTCTACATTTCCTCTACATACCGGAGAAGTGACGTGTTGAAAACACATTGTGATGCTCGGCAAGGTCTGACTAATCCATGAGTAAGGTTTAAAAACAATGCTGATTGTTTGATTACTCACTGTTTTCAGTAATTTTCTGAATGGTACACCAATTAACAAAGGACTGGTTAGTCACATTTAATTTGTTAAAAGTAATTTTTTTTGCAATTCAACATCCATGTAAAGGATGAGGAATGAGAGAAAATGGAACAAACATAATCCCTTTGCCGCACAAAGAGTTAACCCACTCCAACCACCAGAAGGCTTTGAATGGGTTTATAGAGACTCATTAAGCGTCTTTCCCATCATCCATCTCACCACTGGACCCACCAGGTTGCCTTTTGTCAAACAGAAAACCCACATGACAAGAGCCTCTGTGCCTCCATCCCCCTTCCTCTCCCCACCAGAGGAGAAAACCCTTAAATGTGGCTGGTACAGTAGGTAGGCTTGTTATTAGGTGGAGCTTCCCTCTATTAAACATATAGTAGCTAACTGTTTACGTAGTACTAAAAAGACTCAAAGCCAGCTGTATAAATACAAAACAGATGACTATATCTATGGTGCCAAAAGCATGTTAACAATTGTAGCCGTTCTTTTTTAAGCCTTGGTTAATTTTGGGGCAGTTTTGGGAAACGCAGCCCTCTCTGGGGTCACTGACCGCCTCTGATATTGAGGAATGTGTTGGGGTGAATAGGAGGCGGGTTTGTTTCTTTGACAGTTTGCAGAGCTCATTAAAGTAACAGTGGAGAGGTGTGTTGAGGTTAAAGGGGGCAGTTCACCAAGAGGCAGAGCAGATTTGTTATGCACACATTCTCATACCTATCCCAAGACTCTTGAATTTCACTCTACTTGGCCTTCAAAATCCAGTTTATGATTTATGAAAATATTGACAATATCTCAAAGTATACAGCTGTTGTTTCAATACCTTCATTGACAAACATAAGCATAAGGCGGACACAGTTCAATGCAAATAATGCAGATAGATGAAGACAGTGTTGTGACTTACAGCCTCGTTGTGGATAAAAAATACCCTTTTAATGTGAGTGCACTGTTTAATATTCTTTCAAGAGAGGGTGTTTTTTTATTTAATTTATAACCACATCATATTTCCTGAAGGCTGAATCGAATGGAGGTGTCATTGGGGAACAGTTCATTTTTACCTTCCTGAAGGAGCTGTGTGAGACACACTTCCAGGGAAGGTTGTTCAAATGCAAATTCTCCTTTTGAATCCTTTGAGGTTGAGCCTTACTCTGACAAGTGGGACATCAAAGAGACAAAACACAATGCAGACAGGAATGTGGAAAATAACGTCTACGCTTCTGGTTCCTTTTATTAAGACGCTCAGTTCAGGAGTTGTGTAGGTCTTTCCAGGGAATCAATGAGTTTCACTTTTCCACCAGGAGCGACTGGAGTTTGTTTGGAATAAACAGAATCAATGTGCTGTTAAAAGGGCGCCATGGCTGGAAAACATGGAAACGGCTGGCAGCCACAAGCAGAAACTCCAAGGAGACTTCCCAGTGTTCAACTGTTATGGACTCCACAGTAATGCTTCATTTGCACCACAGAAAGTTACCAAAATAGACCAAAAAACATCTATTTAACTGCATTTTTATATTCTGTTGTATTATAAAAAAACATTGATGGAGATAGTTGAGCATTTCACAATGCATTACAAATAACTGTGAGAGAATAAATAAGAGGCCAACGTGCACTGAAACACAGATTTACTTCAAAATCCAGTTTATGATTTATGAAAATATTGACAATATCTCAAAAATATACAGCTGTGGTTTCAATACCTTTATCGACAAACATAAGCTGTTGATGAGGGTAAACTCGTATGACTTTAAGTTAGAAATACAAACTCAAATCCTCTAAACATGCCCTGATTACAATTTATTTTATTAACATGTTATTTTGTATAGCAAGTTATTAATCCAGTTCCTGTCTCTCGCGCAGGCTTGAGTCCGTTCTTCTTCACTCCTTCGCTCCTCTCTGTGGGATTAGCGCTTCAATTCAACAGTGCTCTCCTCTGAGTGACGTTTGTGTTGCTGAACTCTAACCTGTGTTTGTCTCTTCCTGCAGACTGGCAGATTGCCACCCTGGTGCTGCTGGTAACCGGGGCCGTGGCCACTCTGCTGGCCTTTCTGATCGCCCTGATCTCCCTCTGCCGGGGGACTCAGAGGCGGCACTATCGCACCGTGGCTGTGCTCCTCTTCACTGCAGGTACGTCTTCTTCTCCTTATCATTACTTTCCAACTATAAGTTCTTAAAGGGGCCCATATAGGCTTTTGGGGGGTTTATATAGGTTTTATGCATTTAAATGGTCTGGAAAGGCTAGAAATCCCGAATGGAGTCTCTCTCCCTTCCTGAAATGATTCCATTGGACTAGTTTTAAGTTCCGTTACATAGTGACATCATTATGTAACACTGTTTTCTATTGGCTTGCACTCTAACACATTGTACGTGAAGGGGCGGGACATCTCTAAGAGGTTGACCCATCAAAACTGAGCTGGCCAGCTAACCAATCAGAGCAGACTGGGCTCTGGTATCAGACAGAGGGTGAAAATAAGGGGCCGCAGCCTTTTTGAACATTAAAGCATGTAAACATGTCACAGTGGAGGCACACAATACAAATATGAACCTGAAAATGAGCTTAATATTTCCCCTTTAAATCATTTGCCCTTTTCTGCCCCGAATGAATGTTTATCCAATACTAATGCACATTTAGAAACTGAAAGACAGCACATATACGTTGACGGCAACCACAACTATTTCAACATAGACAGGTTTTTGTTTTTTTCTTCCAGTGCTAACATTAAATAGAGGGGTGCAGAAGGAAAGAAGCAGCTGAATGAGGCTCCTTGGTTGAGCTCATTCTTTCTGTGGTGTGTGAGTCTGGGGAGCTGCAGTATCACGAGCCAAGAAAAAGCAGCCACAAAATGTGTGGACTTACCAACAAAGTGAAGTCACTGAAGGGGAAAAAGCTGCCACAGACTCAATCAGTATTTAGACTGCACCTCTCCTGCAGGCTTTGTGCTCTGGGTAAAGCCACTTTTTGACACTGGTGAGGGAGGATCTATTTATGAAACATAATTAAAACCAAAGCAGTCAAGACACATTGTTCCCTGTACTATGCAGCGCTGCAATAACTTAGTTATAGCTCCTGCTTGCTTTATTTTAACGACAGTGATGAAATTCTAACCACTTACCGCTACTTATCTCATGCCCAGTTATATAAGAAACAGACATCCTGTCATGCACCACAAATAACTTCTGCACCCTTATGAAGTTTAACATCGTTCGTGCCTGTGGAGTTAAGAAATCCATAGATGTATTTATTTTCTTGTTGATAGTTTCTGTAGAAGAGAAGATTGATACTATTCTCCTATCTGTCGGTAAATGCTAATGCTAGCAGTTGGTTGTTGTAGCCTAGCGTAAGGACTAGTAGCAAATGGAAAGAGCTAGTTTTTTTTTGGATTTATAATTTTTTTATTTGTGAGCTTTAGAGCCGATTGTAAAGTAGGAGGTATTTTACGTTAAGATGGAGCCAGGCGAAGTGTTTCCCCCTGGTTCTAGTCTTTGTGCTAAGCTAGGCTAACCTGCTGCTGCCTGTAGCTTCATAAGTAACAGACAGACATGTGAGTGGTATCAAGCTTCTCGTCTAACTCTCAGAAAAAGTGTATTTCCCAAACAAATTGACCATTTGTCTGATAAGTAATAGTATGATCCTTAGCCCTATGTGTGCCCATCATTTTCAAACCCATGGTATGCGGAAAGATATGGTTACTTTTTTTATAAACCAACATAAGATCCAAAGGTTTCTTTCTCTTACTTTAAAAAGCTGCAAAAGATGCACAATATATTATATTTTACACTTGATGTAGTATTATGGTGGCCCATTTCACTTGGATTAGGCTGGAATTAGCAAATAGATAATAATATGTAATGTTTTTAAACAGTGCAGAAACATGTTTCATTTCACTCTAAAGGGGAGAATAAGGGATTTCTGTCATGTTCTGCCCCTGGAAGCATCAGCCACAAAGGACCAGTGTGTGCAGGGAACTAAATGGCTGCGACAACTGTTAGCCATTTACTGAAAATCGTGGGAAGGCAGTGTTATCCTTTCCTGTGTGTAATTGCTTTAAGAGCCTTGCGAGAATAAGGTCTCCATACAGAGCAGCAGCAGCAGAGGGGTTGGACTTTGTTAAATGCCCGTTGGCAGGCCTGTGGCCGTGTGGTATTTATTTTCTGTCCAGAAATATGACCTCAGCGGGCTGCGAGCTCAGTCTGGGCTCCATCAACAGCGCAGCATTCTTGAGCTGCCGTCTTCCCTCCTGCACGCCCCTCAGCTCAGCCCTTCAGGAAGGAAAGGCGGAGTCGTAGTCACACAAAGTCCCTTCCTCAAGAGTCACCTACCGTGCGTGGGAGGGAACTGAGTGTACGCCATGGCTTTGATCGGACACATGCATGTCCCCAGACGATGACGCATGACGGTTCATGGTCCTGAAGGATTTTAAAGGGGAAGATTATTCACAATGAGTGAGGCATTAAAGTAATTTCCTTCAATGAAGTCAAGGTCAAAATAAAAAAGAATTGTTCCATGTTTCAAAACATAAAGCCAAAGCACAGACTTTTCTTTGGGGTGCCAAAAGTCAGTCACTGTCCCAGGGGAAAAGACAGGCCACTTACAAAAACAGGAAACCCACAAGGGGGAGTTTTATGTAAATACTTTCTAATGTCTTGTTTATACATCAGACTGGATGAGGCATCACATGCAAAAATACTAATAAGCCAATTAATATACCTCAGCTCAGATTTGTGTTTGTCACAAGGCAATGTCTCCAGAGGTGTAAAGTAATGAAGGTGTGGTACTGAGGAGATGCACTGAATGAAATAGCACAAGGCTCATATAACATAGGCCTGTTTTAACGTATTCCTGTTTTCGTCCAAAAACATTCAAATGTTAGTGAGATACATTTGAGTGTGAATTTGTTGAAATCATCTTAAGCAGCAGATACACCGACTTGAGAAAGATGAACCATCGTCTGGTTACTGAAGTGACTCTCGGTTCTCTTTGCAGATAAACACCTGACATCCTTTATTCTCCTGTCTATTTTTAAAAAGCAGCCACAGTCACATGTCTGCCTTTAGAGCAGCGAGTTCGCTGTCAGATCAGAAGGATTTATCTGGGAAATCATGAGTTGGTAAAAAGCAGTGAGGAAGGTGGAAAGAAGAAAATGAGACTGTGATGTATTGACATATAAAGGGTTTAATATCAATGTAAAGAAAAAAAATAACACAAGTAAACACAGTAGCAGAATGAAGAGTAAACAAATATCATAAAATGATTTTAAAAGTGCAAAGAGGAGACAATTGCAATAACTGTGTCTAAAATCTAAAAGTAGATCCTGCAGTATGTGATATGAAATGCCTTATTTGACGTGGATGTATATTATAGCATGGTGGCCTTATACAAATACTGTATTTGATTTGATTAGTGTTAGTGTAGGGAAAGTGTCTGTTTTTCAGTGAAATCTAACATTTGACTCTCTTTGTTTCCAGTGGTCCTGCAGGCCTGCGCTCTGGTGCTCTACCCGATCAAGTTCATCGACGGCACGGTTCTTCAGACCTATCACGAGTTCAACTGGGGCTACGGCCTCGGCTGGGGGGCCACCATCTTCATGTTGGGCGGCGGGATCCTCTTCTGCCTTCGGACGGACATGTACGAGGATGGCCTGTACTGAGACCTTCCTCAAGCTGCTGGAAATGCACACCGAAACACACACGCGCAGAATTCCCATACAGGAGGTGTGCTACTTTTTCTTCACTCTGCACAGAGCTCATGTGCACAGACCCGGTCCCCCCCTCTCTCTCTCTGTTATTTTTAGACAGGTTGTAAAGGCCTAATTTAGGCCATGGAGCCCCAGCACCCCTCCTCCCACGCAGCCAGAGGGTCCCTCAGCCCCTGCCGGTATCAGGGACGATGGCAGAGCTGAAGCACGGAGAACTTTCTGGACAAACGGCCACAGATGCTGGACGTTTCCACCGCATGTTGACCTGGATCTCTATTGTTAGAGAAGCGGGACAGTAGACACTCACCTGAATGTGCAGTGACTGAACATTCAACCTCATCTCCACATTTCCTTTTTTATTCTTTTTGTGGCATTTCACAAGGACAAGCTTTTTCTTAATGTATTTATGGCATCCACTTTATAATTATAAAAAACGTGATGAAATTCCCCCGCTGTGTTTCCTAGCTGAAACATATGTAGTAATGCTAAGCCTTCCGATGTTAGAAAGGTCATCTAAAGCGCCTCGAAACATGCTACAACCCTCGAGTGTTTATAGTTTGTTTGCAAACTAGTTTGTCTCAAAGGAAAAAATGTAAATGTGTACAAAGTATTTCTACATAAAGAAGAATCCAGAATAAACAATTGTAGTTTTGAGAGTATTGGGAGTGTGAATGTATGTCTGTTTTCAGTGCTACGACGTGGCATTCAGCAGCTTGTCTGTCACTCTGACACCCCCCGTTTACAAACTGACCTCTGACAGAGTTTCACAGGGGGAGCATCAGGGGCGCTGCCTTTTTTGGGACCAAATAGCAGTGAGAGAAAAAATGCAAAACACTTTCATTATCCAGCACTCACATTCCTCGGAGGAAGCCACCCCATGGATATTTAAAGAGCTATGTCAAAATATGTAGCGTAATGAGCAACGCTAAACATTTTACTGCAAACCTCGAGACACAGTTTTGCAGTTAATCTTTAGGAGTTATATATATTTCATAAAATTGCCTGGGAAGCATTGACAGCCCATGAGCTCATGGATAAATGTGCTAAAATGTAATTACTGCTGGCATTTTTTGTTTCATAGGGTAGCTGTAGGGAAAAGTACTTAATGTTTCCATTCAAGGCTGGTGAAGAAGTCTCCCTGGTTGTTTTATGTAACAGAAGGCACTGCCACACCTGAGCAGCCTGGTGTGAAGTTTCCCTTTCTTTACACCCCGGTGTTCAAACTGCAGCAGCTGGTTAAATAATCTCTGGGAAAGGGAACGTCTACAAATAAACAATTTACCCAGCTGCAGCAGTGTGAGAACTCACCAGCTGTGGACAATATTTACCCCCGCAACAAGAGCAGCCATAAGGGGAAAGTACCTGATACCTAAACCTGACACTTGTCTTTTGTGAATGGTGCAATGTGATGTGTAAGAGTGTGAGGTGCCGGGTCCGTGTGTGCCTTATAATAGCCGTGACCTCCCGGGAATCCTTTAGATGTGACTGACAGTGTCAAAGGTGACGTGGTTACATGACAAGTAGGCGTAGGGTTTCTAAATGCTGACACAGAAGTGATCAAGATACTTTTTATACCACGCATACGTAAAGCATGTTGTGTTTAGTTAAACATCGGTGAAGAATGCAAAGTAAAACATTGACTCAGGCCAGTTGGAAAAAAAAGTTGTATTCTCTTCAGTGGAAAAATATTAAAAACATTTAAGGATACACAAACACCCACAGTGTACCATCTGATCCACATAGTTTGCAAATAAGTTTTCTTAAGCGTGTTTCCTTTGCTTTTACTTGGCAGAATAGTGTTTTAGATTAGTAGTTTTGGGGTTGTAAAGGTCAATATGCAGTAGATGATTTGTAAGCGCTCCACCCACACGGTTACTGCTCTGCCTTCGTTGCCACTTCAGGGTAAAAAGGAATATGCACTTAAACAAATTGACTCACCAAAGGCTTTGTTTTAAGGCAGTAAAACGAGTTTCCCCTGCGATCTAATTAGTGTACTTGCTTCTGACTCCACCATGAGCGACTCACCCACGTCTTCCTGCATCTACTGGTTGAACTTGATACAACCTGGTGTTGCTGCAAGAGCCCTCCAAACAAATCCTTGAAGTTGATATTTTCCCCTAAAATGAACAGTGATATTTGCAATGTGGCATCATTAACTACAATATTCATCCATAATCAGTGTTGTCTGGTTTGTTACCTCGGTTCTCTCTCTTTGCACTATGCAAATCAAATGGTGGAACAGATGTTGTTTTATTACAAATCAGACATTAAAACTGACCTAAAGCCCCAACTCCAAATTACAAATTATCAACACAAGTTGATTTAACATGGCTAAAGCACAATAATTGTTTCCTCCAGCAGCTGAGGATACTTCTTTGCCTGTGCAGCTGCTACATGCTCTCATCTCTGAATATTCTCAGAATGACAGCTTTTCCCAGCAGAGGAAACGAAACCAGAGCAGGAAAAAATCACTCACTGCAGCTGTTTGGTCCGACAACACATTTAGTCTCGTTCGATTATAATTCTCAAGCAGTAAAATGTATTTGTATGGAAGAAAATGTTGGAGAGTAGCCTGGCCCCTGGGAGCAGTAACCAGCCAGGCCCTGCACTCTTTCACTCTGCAGGGACAGATTCCAGTTACTGAGCCTGGGGGCCAGAGACAGCCATGGACCCTAATGTCTTGACGCCTGAGGAGGATAGCATTTAGTTATATGATCAGCTGAGATGGTACAAAAAGACATCAAACTATAAATGCAGACCTGAAGCAGTCCTGTGATCCTCAGCAGTGGCCGTCCTCTGCTGCCTAGTGAGGCAGATTAATGGACTGAAAAATAACACCTGGGCTATACATTACCCTCCGACCAACCCTCGACCAAGCCTGGCTCCACCAAAATTACATATTAACCTGAAAGAAAAACGTGTTCTCCTCTATCTTTCTTGTGATAACTTGCAATCCCCCCTGTGTCCCGTTAATTCCACACACTGTTTCTGTTCTGAACACGGTGCATGAAGAAACCTGGCATGAATACAACAGTCAAATAACTTGCATACTGTAACTGATTTACTGAGCTTCAAACCGTCCATTATCTTCTGTTTTGTCATGCAGTAACAGACAGTGGTTTAGTTGCACAGCAGTTCTGACCAGTCCTCTCTGAAACATGAATAAGACTTTTCAGAGTTTGTGTGTGTGCTTTATTAAATCACTATTGATCTATCATGTCAGGACAATGTCTTGTTATCAATAAGCTAAATGAATGAAACAAGAGAGACACAACTACCCATCGACACACACACACACACACACACACACACACACACACACACACACACACACACATGGTCGGGTGTGAACATGGCGACCCGCTGCTGTGGGAAGCCGTCAGCTGCCAGGCCGACCTTGTGGATGTCAATGAGTGTTGGATCAAACACTGAGAGGCAGAATCAGACCGCAGCCAGATGGTTACTTTCCCAACATGAAAGAAAATATCATGAAGTTTAAATGTTACATTTAATTCAGATCACTACAATACACTTTTTTGGCATGAATGTTACTAAAACAGTATTGTCAGAGCGACAAGTAATATTATTCAGAAAAGAAGAGGACCAAGGTAGAAATTCATAAAAAAAAAAGTACCAGTCTCTGTGTGTGTGTGTATGTGTGTGTGTGTGTGTGTGGGTGTGTGTGTGCGTGCGTGCGTGCGTGCGTGCGTGCGTGCGAGAGAGAGAGGATCTATTTAAATGGTTCTGAAAAAAAGGAATCATTCACAAAATGTAATGTAAAATAAACAAGACAAATAATTATATTACTCAAGATTTTTTTAATTAACACAAGTGTTCAATTTTAGGCCCACTGACCCAGGTTGAGTGAACTATATTTAAAATGAAAAGTTTAAGAAATATGGAGTCAATATGAGATCTACATGCACACAATTGTAACGTAGATCTGTCTCAGGTTGAACTAGCTTAAAATGTATTAATCCAAATGTGGTCTTCCTGTAGCACAGCATATGGAGAGATCATGTGTGTGACAAGATTACCAGTGGCATTACAACCACTTACTTCATATATATTTTACAGTTGTTTAATCTGTAGTTAACTGAAGGAGAAAAAAACACTCATTTTGTGTCATGTTAGGTGCTATAGCTTATCCGAACACCAGAGGGCAACATAAGCTTTAACAAAACTAAAGTGTCCCTTGTTCCAATGGTTCAAATACTTCAAAATCTAAAACCAGGTAAACAACATAATATTTTATTTTACATGTTAAATATATTATCAGAAGGGTACTGATTATTCCCTTAGTTATTCACATCAGGTGTTTTGTCTACTAAGGGCCTTGCTCATTAGGAGCGATTCATACATTCACACACGTTTAGCTATGCCAGCGTAACATTGATTACCTCCTTTTTCTGATCCATTCAGCTCATAAAAAGTAATGACAACAATACATTTTGACCAATTCAACTATTTAATTAAAAAAACACACAGCACACAATGTAATCGACAGATGTTTGGCAAGAGTTACATTTTGGCAGTCAGGTTGATTCAAAAACTTCAAAAGACAAATGGCAAGGAGTAATGGCATTGAAAACATCTGAAACTCATTTTATTCTCTTTTACGTTGTTTCAAGTAATAACATCTAAATCTGTTGCATCAAAACAAAACAAATACTTTCAAAAGGATTCTTTTAAATTAGATTAAACATAATAAAATATATGTTTGTTGAACTAAAGTTGAGGCAAAAAGTCATCAATTTAACAAAAAAAGACTACATCAACTGTGGCAAGACATCTGGCATATAATAAAACTTCATAAAACTAAATCCCAAAGAACAAATACCGGCACTTGCTCCTGAACACAACATCTGCATTTGTTGCAGGAAAAAAAGTTAACAAAAAACTAAAGAAATAATTATAAAGAGCGATACCAACCACCAAAACATTTCCAGTTAAAATGACTGGAAAGTAGTTCATGTTAAGGCGTTTGCATAAAAATGCTGATGAAAAAATTCAAGCGCAGTGCAATAAGCTGTACGATATAATACTGTGTGTAACATGAATTAACCCAGATATCTTCAGTAATATTTCATCAGGGAATGACTTTGAGGGCTTCTTGTGTTTGGTTATTGTGTGAATTTCTATCAGAGATCCTGAAAACATATACCAGGAGCTGCTTGAAGAAGGTGGAGCAGGTTTTAGGCATCCGTTACTGTAAAAACTGAACTTCTGGCAAACAGGTTGGCGAGCAGAGCGTCCGGCTTCTTCACATCTCTCAAGCTCCTCCTGCAATGGAAACACAGTTTGTAGTGAGCGTCTCATTTCATTAACCTAAACATCAGTGTGTGTGTGTGTGTGTGTGTGTGTGTGTGTGTGTGTGTGTGTGTGTGTGTGTGTGTGTGTGTGTGTGTGTGTGCTTTATGTGTAAGAGTACTCACACTTTCAGCACTGCCCACACACACAGCGACAGCACCAGAATGGCAAGGATGGCAAAAGCGATGTAAACATAGACAGGTACAATGTCCCATGGTTTAGATGCTACCTCTCTTTTTTCTAAAACACACAAACACAGAAATACACACATACTTAAATGTATGTCATTTAAATATGTATTCATTTTATTCTCTTATCTCCCTAGGATTAATAAAGCATTTATTCAATT